TAGATCTCCAGGAACAGGATGCACCCCTGATCTATAACAATACATCTGTTTCATTTTAAATACTTTCAGCTACTATAAATGAAGTCTTTGGAAAAACAGTTATTATACATCTGAAATGGATGCAAACAGCACATAACTAATGTCTATATTGTCAAAAATGTACAGTAGTCAAAGGGAATTCAGATCAATAGATTTATTAAATACAAAATAGAAAACATTCAATTCAGGTTAATACAGGTATATATAGCCAAAAATGTAAATACACAAAAGTACTAACAAACGAAAGCAAACAAAGCAATGTAAGATTGTAGGATTTTGTCATTTCCCAACCAGGACGCAGCACAATGTGTTCAGCAGGTGAGCCGTGCTGGCTACTGCTGCTTGCTATTGCTAATTCTCTCTACAACATGGCTTTACTTAAAGGCACAAAATGTAAGATTTTTTGATTAAAATATCCCAAAACCACTAGAACAGTGTTATATATTTTGCTGACTTTTGTACTTCCATTATACCAAATGTTTTGAATAATGTTTAAATCCGGAGAAATAAGCTATTTTAACTAGTGTAACGGACCGTGTCCATAGTGTCATTGCGTCGCCTGCCAATGACGTCATAACCCCTTGATTTTTCCGGTTTTATTTTGTTGAAAACATGGAAACCTCAAAGACACTTTAATATGTTATGCATTTTATTAGACAGGTGACGAACGCACAGAGTAGCATTATAACGAAAATTTCAATACACTCAAATGTATAGTTTGATATACACTGTACAGTGCTGTTTTACCCCACACACGCATGACCGGAAGAAGCAGAAGCGGTCGAGTGTGGCATAACAAAAGCTCTCTTAGCATCAATCCAAACATAGGCCATACATACATGTACCATCTTTGCAAAAAACATTAGCAATGTGCAAAAACAAACAAACAAAACTCCTTTAGACTGGGCTTGAAATGACACATTTCCCAACCAGGACGCAGCACAATGTGTTCAGCAGGTGAGCCGTGCTGGCTACTGCTGCTTGCTATTGCTAATTCTCTCTACAACATGGCTTTACTTAAAGGCACAAAATGTAAGATTTTTTGATTAAAATATCCCAAAACCACTAGCTGTTTTACCCCACATACGCATGACCGGAAGAAGCAGAAGCGGTCTACTGTGGCATAATAAAAGCTCTGCTGCTATCGAGCCGTGTATCGCGCTCGTCCTTCATTAGCAATCACTCCGGCGGCCTCGTTTCGCTTCCACGACTTTTAGCCCCACCCTGCTTCATACTACAGTGACCTTAATAAGTCTTTAATACATTAGCTCATCAATTAACATGATTTCTGCCCGAGTCCCGTCGGATTGCATCGGCTGTGGGTATGAAGACGACAACTCCCATGTTCCACACTCAGTCACGGCGTCAACAAACTACGCCTTTGTTTCTTGTTTGTTTTGAATATGCGCCCTCTAGCGACGAAAACTTACATATTGTGCCTTTAAGGAAACCTAAAACACTCTAGCATCCCTAGTGGTAAGGAAGAAAACTGCCCACAAAATTCTTATTAACAGGCTCATGTCTGGCCCTCATTGGATTAATGTGGGCAGTCCCATAGTGTGGGCTGCTCACAGAGAGCCTGTGGTGAGCCCAAAGCTGTGGGCCTCGCCTGGACAAGCCTGCACTGGACCTGTTTAGGTTTGGTGTGGGCTGGCCCTAGCCCACTGTGCCCGCAAAAAGCCAGCATGGGTCCCGCAAGGACATGTTTGCAGGGAACACATCATCCTCTGTGTCACAGTAGAAAGTATTTTAACATCACAAAAATGACTTTGAAAGACCGAACGTCTCTAAAGCCTGAGTCTGTAAGGACCCTGCTGTTATATCTTCAGTGCACCACATGGTTTCCAGTCTTTGGGCTTCTAATCATCCAAAAACACGACAAACCTTTGGCCTCTAACGCCTGAATTGCTCTCATTCTTTTACATTTCTGTTGCTCTCTGCTGTGTTTACTGAAATGAAAGTATTTTTAGAAAACGCCTTGTGAATTACAAGGAAGGGCTTGAATAATTCTGTTTTGAGGGGGATAATACAAGACGACTACAGCCTTGTTCAGTCGTGGAACAGGGAAGACAATAACCTTAATGAGAATGCTCCGGCACTTTCACGACTTTTAGTTTGCAGTGCTCTGAATGCTCTCAGCTGAGACTCTGTGAAATCGTACAGGGATTTTGGAGAGGAACCTGTGCATTCCTGACTCCTGCTTGATCCAGGTCTGCAATGACAGATCGGCCTGCCAGACGGTAAGCTTGGGGATGGCAATCGTGAACATGCACATAAACAAATGCTTCCAATTAATTTCCATCGCCGTCAAACTCTTCCATATTCAATCCCAGGTGGGACGAGCATGACAGCAGTTTGAAACGGGCTGACAACCAGAGAAGTGCAGAGAGCGAGTGTAGGATGGATCACCTTCCCCTGACTGTCAGACACCTTCAGTCATAATGCAGGTACCCATCCAGTGACAAAGCAGTCAATGTATCAGTCAGAATCTAAAAAAGACACTACAGCGAAAGTGAAAGGCGAAAGAGGTCAATATAATTGCACACAACGGACACATTTCAACTGACCATCTTAAATGTGATTACAAATCATAGGAAGTGCATTACTTCAGTATGCAAATATCATAGAGAACACATTTACACAGGAAGTAGAGAGACATTTACCCATTAGTCACTGTGAACCTCCTCATTAGGCTTACTTCTCAAAATATGGCTAAAACAAAAGGTTACTAGGCAAGTAAAGTGCACCAGTTATATGATTATAATTTTATTAAAATAATATTTATAAAATTAAATTTGAAAGTAAAAAGATATACTAATTCACAACTAATTGGTCAATTAACCAAATCCTTTTTTTTATATTAAATATCACAACAGTCATTAATCAATAAAATGTAGGGTTTAAATAATTAATTAATTAAATAAATAAACTAGGCAAGTGTACTAGTTTAAAGCGCAACAGTTGTGGTTATAATTTAAATAAAAATAAAAATAATATTTAAATAATACAATTTTACAGTAAGACGACACACATTAGCCAAATCATTGTTTTATATTAAACCTCACAACAGTCATTAATCACTACATCTAGGGAAGTAAATAAATAAATAAATAAATAAATAAATACTAGTCAAGTGTACTAGTTTAAAGCGCAACAGTTATGTAATTATAATTGTAATAAAAAAAATGACAGTAAAAACACACCTGCTGTAAATTAATCTAAAACATTTTTATATTAAACATCACAACAGTCATTAATTGTAGGGATAAATAAAGTATAGCAGATTATACTGTAATTTATTGAATATGGAGTTTATTATACAGGTGTGCAGGGAGGGGTGAAGAACACGGAGGAACCCTGATTGCCTGGGTAGCAGGTGATTTGCTTGCTGAAGTGTTCAAATCTTTAATCATCTCATTCTTAGATATGCTGTCAGACTCTAGACCGCAGGATGGAGAAGTATCAGTTTTGGCATGGAGAGAAATGTAATGGAACACACTTCATCACTTCAGGGAGATGAAAGGAACAGACTCCAACAGCCTGAAACAACTTGAAATGCTTCCTTTGGCACTTTTAAAAAAAGCAAAACACCCTCTGAAAATCCATCATCCTAAATTTAGGTTATAAAATAGCACGGTGACCAGCAGAATGACTGAATTCGGTGTAATTATTTTTCAGTTTCCATCAAGTATACTACTGAATTAGTCAACATGACTCACACACTACAAGTCTTCTAAAGTCATATGATAGCTTTGTTTATCATTTATTCACAAAAAAAACTGTCACAATGCGATCATTCACAACATGAAAAACCAAGACATTTGGCATCACTTTCGTCAAACCGGGTGCAATGTGTTTTATTAGACACCATATTTGAACTGAACGTGTTTGAAGATTTGAGAGTTGTCGCTGATGGCAAGATTTTCCACAAATGGCTTCATAATTTTGGTGTACTCCTTTCACGAAGCTATTGCATCACATCAGAGGACTAGAGAATATAACACATGAGTCATACAGAATGATTTTATGGTGCATTTTTGTTATTTTTGGAGCTCGAAAGCCCCAGTCCCCATTATGAAAAGCACTCTGGGCATTCCAGCGATATAACTGCTTTTGTGTTTCACGGAAGAAAGAAACTCATATGGGTTTGCAATAACATGAAGGTAAGCAAATGAACAGAATATTCACTTTCAGCTGGACTAATCCTTTAATACTTTACTAATGCAACAAACTAAAAAACACATGGCCGCGCCGTGTACGTACAAGTGTCATAATAAAGTATAGATTAGATAACGCCCTGGAGATATTTAGCCTGGAGCACGTTTTCAATTATGTAGCTCTCGACTGCCTTCATGCTTATCTGAGCTCAATTTTAATGCCATTCTCTCTATTTCAACTTTAATATCTCAACACCTCATGAAACTCTAATAAGCAATCAATGACATGGTAAAAATGTCATAGCGCTTTTTCACAAATTCATTTGAGGTTCTACAATTAATGTCATTAATACACTGACTTTTCAGGGTTATTATTTGACAAGGCAAGATCTCTTTTGAGAGCACTAACTCTGAACATTTGCCTGATAGCAGGTTGTTTAAAAGGCTCATATAATAGACGGATAGTGCGAGAAAGATAAGAGACAGAAAGAGTGACTGGGACAGCTGAAGAACTGCCAGAAAGACTCCAGGGACAGAGAGATACCGACGACAGAATAAAGACACAGGCAAAAAGAGAGAGACAGACGGTAGGGGCAGAAAGACATCTGAACCTATGCCAGAGGGGCTCATCTCCTCAGCGTTACCTGCTTAGCAACACAGAGCTCAGGGAATCTCCACGGTAACCGAATTGTTCCGTACCTGAGCTCCATAAATCCTCACAGAAATGCTCAGAAAGGACCGGTTTCCCCGTGAAAAGTCTCTAATCTAGGGCAGAGGACTCTGGAGCCAGAGGCTCCCAGGGCTCCCTGTGCATTTTATGGCTTGAAGGTCATATCTTCAGCTACAATAGTGTTTCTCTGAATTCTGGAGTACAGCAACATTTTGGATGGTTTCAATACCTACAATAACCAATTTAGGTCATAGAGTCTAACCTGATGAACTAGAATCAGGTGTACTGCTAAATTGGAAAACATGCTCCAATGTTTTTGCACCAAAACTTCATTCTTTCGTACTTTCAGCCAAAACATCTCTTCAATTTTCTCCTTAGAAATGAATGGGTAACTATGGTAACTGGGATTTTTCTGTACCATGAATATTTCTCAGTTAATTTCTTCAACAACATACATAAATGATATATAGACACACACTACATAGAGCACATATATCTATTGTTAGAATTGTAAATCTAGACTCAATATCAGCCATGTCAATTTTAATCTAAGATCATGCCTTCACTTCTTTATTCGGCTCAGTGTGACCTTAGTCCTCCATTAATCTGTCACAGTAAATTAATATATGCAGACTTTCTGCATCAGTTCGGCTAGAGGCCAACAGTGCGTCATAAAATCCTGCAGAAGTCAGAAAATCAGTTTGGCAACAGTGACTGCGTGGAAAGTTTGCAATTGTAATCAACCATTATATTCAGACATCACCATATAACATGATAATATCACTCAAGATGATGGTTTCTGGTTATTATTGTCTATTTATGATATTAAAACACCTCACATTTGAATTCCAAGCAACAATACACATAAAAGTAGGCTTCAATGAACCAAAAAAAGGGGTCTTGAGCCATTTTAAATCCTGTAAAACTAAGAAAGAACTGCATGCTCATTAAAGTCTCTTTAAAGTTGTCAAAATTAATTATGCTCTCAACAGCATTTTTACTTTCGCCTTTGCAATACTAATATGGTGTCATATTTCACTTCTTTGAAGTAGCGTCCAAAGTTTTAAATATTTCAAAAAGCCAGATCACTCTGAAGTTTGTGATTAAGTGACTAAGAGATTAAACTCACCAAAAACAGTCCGGGCCGGAACAGACTCTCGGTTCAGCCAGAAGGACACCTGGGAAAGGATGACGGTCATGATGCACGGCAGGTAGGTCTGAATCACAAAATAACCGATCTTCCTCTTCAGGTGGAAGTGGGCTGTCATCACCGTGTACTCACCTGTGAGGAAAAGAGAGAGTTATGGGAAACAGTCCAAAATGAGACTAAATATTGGCTTTGTTGGGTAAATAACACCAACTGGCAGGTATCTTTTGCATTCTCAACATAATACATGGTTTAAATGATAATATAAATGCAACATTAATGAGTAAGTAATTCAAGATTCAAGTCAGATATACAAGCGGTTTATTTATAAAGATTAGTGACTTCTGACAACTTTTATCGTAATGGAAAATTCATCCATTAGATGTTTATCTAGGAGCCTACAAATATTTCTATAAAAATAAATTGCATATATTTACATGAAATTACGTTTACAAAGAAATCATCCCCTTTAAGGAATAGTTCACCCAAAAACGAAAATGTACTCATGTACTCTTCCTCATGAGTTTGTTTCTTCTTGAACAGATTTGGAGAAATGTAGCATTACATCACTTGCTCACCAATGGATCCTCTGCAGTGAATGGGTGCCATCAGAATGAGAGTCCAAACAACTGATAAAAACATCACAATAATCCACAAGTAATCCACACACAATAACTTCAGCGTGCGTTTAGCTCCCGAGGAAGCAGAATGCGTGCATTGAAAGGATTTCTCAATGAAAGCTCAGTTCGTGCCGTCCCTATTCTCGAGGGATGTGGGACGAGTTTTTGGGTGGAATGCTATCTTCTCTATGAGCAAGCGGGATGCGCTAGGTATGATGAATTCGCAAGACTGACTATAAGAGACAGGAAGGAACGTCTTCCTTTCTGCTCTCTCCTGAGGAATAGTAGTTAGTGTTTGCACAAGCGCATTCAGTTCTCGAAGGGGTTTAAGGCACTCATAGTGATTCATTGGCATCTGTTCTCATATGATTCTTTTCAGAGTGATAGAATCTGTCGTTTGAACTAGCGTGCTTGAGGTTAAATGCGCGCTTTGCGCGATGCGGTCGCAGTAATTGGTTCCAACCAGGCTTGACTCTCTCTCTCGAGGGATAAGAGTTGAGCGCCTGCACCCCGTGGTCAGGTCCCGTGACCGCCATTACGGTGAGGTGGGATTAAGCGCAGGGGCTGTAGGCAGATCACGGACGAGTCAAACAGGAAGTTTTCCTTTTTTGGCTCCTCTTGTTGACTCAAATAACACTATTGTTCTTAATGTGTCAAATTCTGAGTAATTAGGGACAGAAAAGTGCTGTAGTTAGGTAGTGGCCTAAGTTGTTAGGCTCTCTGTGAGCCTTCCTTTCTACTGCGAGAGTTGTTAGACCTCCTCCCACATTAGAGGGTTTTCTTTATTGAGGCTTTCACTCCTTAGAGCTCCGCTACGATAACTATTGCAAGTTGTACAGTAGGCTCTCTGTGAGCCTCCTTTGTAAATGCCTCCTCTAAAATCCATGCTTATGGTAAGAGCACGCGCTGACTGCTTCGTTCCTTCTCTAAAAATCCATGTTCATGGTAAGGTCACGTGCCGAGTGCTTTGTTGATCTTAACCAGAGTAGGTCTACCAAGTTGAGTAGGTTCTCAGTGAGCCTCCTTAGATACTACGAGCATTGTTAGGCCTCCTCTCGCTGGAGAGAGTTATCTTACTGAAGCCTGAGCGTAGGATATCGTTAGTCTCCTCTCGACTTTAGAGAGTCGTCATGCTGAGGCTTTCGTTTCCAGAGCTCAGTTTGCATTTGCTAAGTTGCTAGGCTTTGTGAGCCTCCTTGGCCATTGTGAGCATCATCAGGCCTCCTCTCGTTGGAGAGAGTTATCAATAGAGTGTGCAAAATGGGAGCAGGTGAAGAAGTGGCACTCTGTAAATAGAACATCAAAGAGCAAGATTATGAAATGCATATTGCAACTGAGGATATTCTGAAAGAGCTGATGTCACAAAGCAGGGGAGGGAAAGATAAATGTAATTATAAGCTGGGAGCTCTTTGAGGGATGCCACAATTACACCTCATCTCATGAAGCCCTGGATGAAAAGATCAGGTCAGTATGCAGCGACTCTACGGAGACAGTTTGTTACCGAGCAAAATGGCATAAAGAGAGAAAATCTCCTTGACATCATCATGAGGATTTTAACCTCATTATCACAGAGCATTATCCCAACCACATGAAAAGACACAGAAATGTGGCAAGCCACCTGGAAATGGAGAATGTCTACCGGCAAGCGGCCCACAAGACAGAGAGAGAGAGAGAGAACTGAAATATGGAGGAAGACATTGGTTGCCCATGGCAACAGAAGAGAGAAATCTATCTGGTGCTTTTGGATCTTGTGGAGGATGCCATTTG